CTCCCCCCCCCATTGCCTCTCCCCCCGGCTCCTCGCTGCTCTTCCCCCCCAACCCGGCACTGAAGCGAGGGGCGAGCGGGAAGCCACTCGGCCCTCGCTGTTTCCCCCTCCCTCAACCCGGAGTTTGCAGAGTGTTCCCTGCGCATGCGCAGGGGACGCTCTGTGAGTTTCGGGGAGATTTAAGTATCCCCCCGATATTTTTTTACAGATTTGGGATTTTTGTGCACACGTGGGGACTGCCCCATGTGCGCACAAACCTCTCCCTCCCCCCCAAGTGCCCCCGATGTGCGGATTTAAGTATCCGCACACCAGGGGGCGACTTGAGAATTAGATATATAGATTACGAATGTCATAGAAATCTATCTGCAAGCAGTGTTAAAAATAAGAATACGTAAATATTAATGTATAGTCAAAGCAGAGCTGCAAATTTTTTAAAAAATCATAATTTTGAGCCAAAGGGTGGAGTTACAGTGTGCTCACTTGTATTTGAAAGCACTGGGATTTTTTTTAAGTATCAGGTATTTTGGGATCATTGCCATTGTAACATAAAATAGACCCATCTGTCCTCTCCCCCTACTTCTGAAAGGAAGACCAAAGTTAACCAAAAGGCCTCTCTTTGTGGGACTGTGTGGGGAAATAACTTGTAGTAACCTTCCCTGATCTTCTCTCCCCCCCCCCCCCAAGAGATGCAGCCCTGTCCAAACCCGCCTTTGGAGACAGACGGTGCTACCAGCTTCCTCCAGGGGCTCGAGGATTGGCTGTGCGAGCAGTGGTGAGTTGCCCCATCTGGAGGCCTCCTGAGTGTCCCAAGCCAGGGGATTCCACTTGGCCCTGAAGAAGAGGCCTCAGTCTCCATCCTTGTCTTCTTCTTTCAAAGCTTTAGCTGCTGCTGGTGGTGTACTGGGCGCCACATAAAAGCACTCAGCTGGGAAGACTTGGGTTCATTATTCTAAGGGACGCTGGGCTGTGAAAATCCATCACCCTGGCCTTCTTGCAACACAAATCAGAGATCCTCTTAGTGGATTTACTTTGTTTGGGAACGGAGATTAAGGCTGAGCTTGATACGAGGTCGTCTGCTTACAGATTGTGCTAAGGTTTCCCTGCCCCCATCCGTTTGTTGAGAACATACCATTTGGGGGGGGGGGGGGGTGACCTGGTAATGAGATGGGATCAAGAATCAGGCCCTTGCGAACTCTAAATGGGAGCCCTTTGATGGTAGAGCACATGAGCTGCATGTGGCAAGGTCCAAATTTAATCCCTGCTATTTCCAATTAAACTCAAGCATCCGCACTGGAAAGACACTGACAGCATTCAGGCATAGCACCAAACCATAGCTTGCCGGTGTGGTCTACTCCCACATACTTCCTTCACCACCACCCCTTTCCCCTCTCCCTTCTGCTGTCAAAGTTAATGACTGGGTTTAGTGTACACTAGCATTGTAAAAATAAGGTAATTTGCCTTGATCTAAAAGATCACACTATACACAGTAATAGTCTGAAAGTCTCTCCCTCATGAGAAAGATACACTCTGAATATATGGATCTTCTGTCTGGTCAGCTGGAGTGGATTTTTAATTAACGGCAGGTGACCATTTTAAGAGGCCGTTCCCGTACCTTACCTTGTTGGACAGAAATTACTGCTACAAAGAAGGCTTGTCGTATGAAAAGGAGTTTTAGTTATGGCGTAAGAGAATTCCCAGGGGGGCTGCAGTTTCTCAGGTGTAAGACAGCCTCTCGTGTCCCTTGACTATTACCATAAAAAAAAAGTGCTGGGTATAAATTATGTCATCCAGCTTCCTGTCTGTGGGCAGTCCTTCATGACCCAAAGTAAGAAGGGGTGAAAAGAAACCCGAACCCCTTATAAAATGTATCCCTTCAAAGTTTCCATCCCTAACAGTCACCTGGGGGGAGGGCAGGTTTGCTGAGCCAAATGACTATTACTGGCACATGATGTGTGCATGGACGAAGATGCATGTGCAGAAACAGGGCAGCTTTGTTCTGCTGTGGGCTCTCTTCCTGTTCCTTGAAGTCTTCTTATTGCCCCAGGCAGCAATCATGCATGCTGTGCTACAAGGATTTTTCATCTAACAGCTTCCTTCTGTTTGTCGGCTTTCCACCCCACCCGCAGGACCGGGATGTGCGAGAAGGAGCAGATATGCTAATGGTAAAGCCAGGGATGCCCTATCTAGACCTTGTGCGGGAAGTCAAGGATAAAGTAAGTCCCCTGCTTCTCCTCCAGAATAATGAGGGATGGCATTGGTTGACTTTGCCTACACCACTTTCCCTATAATCTTGGGGTGGACTAAGGCATTCTGGCCTTTGCAGCATCTTGGTGGAGCTGTGTGCCTGTGCTTCTTTTCCAGCACCCCGCCCACCCGTTGGCTGTTTATCATGTCTCAGGGGAGTTTGCCATGCTGTGGCATGGAGCACAAGCTGGGGCCTTTAACCTGAAGACTGCAGTTCTGGAGGCCATGGCGGGATTCAGACGAGCAGGTGAGAGAAGAAGGAAGATCAGAGGGGCCCAGAAAGCGCTATGAGGACCCCCATGGCAAGAGTGCCCACTGCCTTCCTGGGTTGTTGACATCGCAGACACAGGCACCGAATCCTGAAGCATTCCTTCTGATGTGCTTGTGTGTTTTGCACGTCAGTAGTCTTAAGCACCTACATAAAAGTAGTCAGCTCAATAAATTAAAGACAGGTGCTCTTCCTGCAGGTACATTGGACAAAGGAGGGGCTACAGCTCAGTGCGAAAGTACATGTATTGTTTGCAGAAAATCCCAAACTTACTCCCCAGCGTCTCCCATTAAGGGGTCCCAGGTAGCCACTATTAACAAAGACCCTTCTCTCCTAGAGACCCCAGAGGGCCACTGCTTATCAGTATAAAGAACTACATGGATTTGGTATAAGGCTACATATGTTCAGAGGAACATTGGTGGAAGAGTGAAGATATTCTGAAAAGCGCAGAAAATTAAGGGGATGCCAGAATTTTGCAAATAAAATCGAGAAACGGGGAGGAGCACAGAGGACATTTAAGCCAGGGACTATGTATGTAAATAAATGCTGAGACTTGAGAAGAGGCCTAGAGTTGCAGTAGACTAACAACAGGGCATATGTTTGGAATGTAGAAAGTTCCAGGTTCAATCCTTGTTTGTTACAATTTTATCTCACCCTTCTTCAGGGGAGCTCAAGACAGCATGCATAGATCTCCTTTTATTTTCACAATGTCCCTGTGAGGTAGGTTGGAAAGCGAGAGGCCAAAGTCACCAGGGAACATCATGGCAGGGCAAGTTTCAACCCTGGGCTCTCTGGTCTTACGGCCATCATCTACAAACTGCTCTTGTCTGCAATAAATCTTTTTTTTTCTTAATTCCAGGGGCTGACATCATCATTACATACTATGTGCCTCAGCTGCTGCAGTGGCTTAAAGAAGACCAGGCGTGAGGCATGCGTCTCCCTCGTCCCTGTGATGGGAGAGCAAGGAGGAGCTTGGAAGGGGGCTGGCAACAAGGGGGCAGGCACCAAAAGAATTTTTGGGAGATCAAGCACGGCCTTGGTGTGGGAACCCTCCTGCCTGCAGTGCCCCTTAGACACCAAAGGAATAATCCCTCCTAAAGGGCTGTTGTATTCAAATCCTGAGGCCCTTCCATCCCGAGCTGGTGGTGCACCCTTCTCTTAAACCCAGGACTATTTCCACAAAATGTGTATGTTTAAAAATGCCACAAGCAAGGAATAGTTAAGCTCTTTGCCCTACACAAATCCTTGCCGCATCAGTAGTAGATTAATTGGAAGTGTTGGTACAGCAGGAGTAGATGCTCATAAAGGTGCCATTCAACTGTGAAGGCCGGACTGAGGCCTTGTGGGAATAAGGCCAGCCCTTTCTCTGTGATCCCCTAATTCAAAATCTAACTGGGATAACCAGTGCTCCTTTATTCCACAAACTACCACAAACATGCCAAAACTGCAAAAGAGTGGCTGTAGGACTGACTATAGATGCTCACTGGTACCTTTATGGTTGCCAGGCATATAGACTCATCCTGTATGTGAGGGATGGGGTTATTTTGAGATTATGGGCCAGATTTTAGATGGCTTCTGATGTGACCACTACTTTTTCCCTGGTAGGTTTCCTATGTTTTTAACCAGCAATATGATTAGAAATCTAGGGCAGTTTCTCTCACTGAAATGGGCCTTTTTATACACAACAGCTGGCCAATAAATGGACTATGACTTGATCAGTTAATCACTAGTTAAAGTAGACTGCAGAATTGGGGTGACTCGTAGTCCCGATGAAGCCACTGGGGCCAGGCTAAGCTTGGCAGATGAGCAACTGGTTTGAAGCTTAAGTGTATTTGAGCGCACAAGCATTTGCCCTTTAATGTGTACTTTGACCACTAATGAACTGCCCCCCCCCCAATACATTGTTTCCTTGGACAATGAGAATATCACCTACACCTCCTACGGAGCCAGAGCCTTTCTTTGTATCATTTTAGATTAAACTTTGGAGGGAAAGTAAAAAATACTGATATTTTCTGGAAGTCGTGGCTTATTTGGTTCTTACAGCAGCATGCAGGAGGAAGGAGGGCTTTTAAGGAGGATATTGCTCTGCATATGGGCAGGCAAGGAGGAAGGCTACACTAGTAGTGGTATGTGGGAGGATGCTGATATAGCTGTGTAAAATTCTTGTTTATGGAGGGTGTATTCTGCCTGTAGGAAATTCTCAACTCCTGCTGGGCCATCTGTGATTTCACGAGTTGCTGTCCCCACACTTTCAAATCTATTTTCCCTCTGTCTATGAATTTTTTTAAAAAATTAAAGTTCCCTGCCTTTCTGCCCTAAGGTTGCCAACCTCCAGGTGGTGGCTGGGGATCTCCTGGGATTACAACTGATCTCCAGGTGACAGAGATCAGTTCACGTGGAGAAAATGGCTGCTCTGGAAGGTGGACTCCATGGCATTAGGCCTCATTGAAGTCCCTGCGCTCCTCAGGCTCCACCCCCAAAATCTCCAGATACTTTCCAACCAAGAGCTGGCAGTCCTAAACTCATAAGGGCTACTGAGGTAGCTAACAGAACTACATCTTTAAAACCATTAAAGCCAACAAAAACATGTAAAGCCTTGGGCAGGAAAGAGGGATCACTGAGGGAATGCCAAACGAAACCAAGTCTTCCGTCCTTGCTAGAAGCTGCCAACAGAAGGGGACAGATGAGTCTGCCTGGGGGAGAGAGTGCCTGAGTTTTGGTTCAATAGGGTTGCCAGGTTCCCCCTGGTCACTGGCAGGGGATGTGGGGTGTAGGACTGTGAGCCCAGATCCAGGTTGGGAAACTCTTGGGGATTTGGGGATGGAGCCTAGGGGAGGACACAGTGCCCTCAGTGGGGTACAGTGCCATAGAGTCTACCCTCCAAAACATCAATTTTATCCAGGGGAGCTGATCTCTATAGTCTGGAGAGGAGCTGTAATTCTGGAGGATTCCCAGGTCCTGCTGGGAGGCTGGCATCCCTAGTTGAAAAAGGAGGTCAGAAAGGGATCATGTTATGAACCATCATAGTCTTAACCTGGTGTGATAGGGCCTGTTCCAAGGGAATCCTGGGAATTGTAGTTTTCTACTTGGGTTCCCATGCTATGGATTATTTCTAAAAAAATAAAGATTATTTCTAAAGAATTCTGTGTCTTTTCTGCTCTGCAATTCCCAGGGTTTGTTGGAGGGAGTTGGCCTATAAAACTTGTAGGTTTGTGGCAGTTTGTAGTGCAGGGCAGGCATAGTCCACAAAAGTAAAGGGAACTCTGGGTTGTGAGGAATAAACTTTGTTAAATCTTTCCCTTCATGTTCCCCTCCGACACATAGCTAATAATAGGATGTATTCTTGGTTTTCAAGATTGTTAACAAGCAAGTCTTGGCTAATGCCTTGTGTGAACTATGCCCTAGTGTCCCAAAATCCTCCACAACATGCAAGGGGACATTGATGTGAAAATAAATGTTGGAAAATTTGGCAACTGCCCTCTTTGTGGGAAAATGTCTATTCCAGCTCAAAATACAATACAGGAGAGAGTTCATAGTTCTTCATTCTGCCTGGATCCTGGTTCCTGTTCTTTTCCTGAGTTAATTAACTAGGGCTGTGGTCACACGCACTAAATAATCCACTTTCAATCACTTTAAATGCACTTTCCAACTGGATTTTTATGTGTGAACTGGCAAAATCCACTTTGAAAGTGCATTAAAAGTGGACTGAAGGTGGATTATTTAGTGTGTGTGACTGCAGCCTAAGAATATGTTGGTGGGGGGTGGATCCCAGATAGCCTCCTACACCAGTTAAGGTACTAGCCCTGCCTTGCCTTAGCTGCATTAGTTCACGTCAGAAATATGATGCGGCAATTATAGTTCTTTAGAACCAGTTCAAAATAGATAATTATGATACTTATTCCTCTAGAGTATCCACCACTTGAATTTGCTTTTTCAAAATCCTTTACAAACTCCTTTAGATGTGAATTAGAAAAAGTGAAATGTGCTGACCACGAAAGGTGAAAACTAGCTCTCTCACCTATTATATTAGCCCCGAGACTTATGCCTTTGATAGTTGCCGTATAGACAGAATTTAACTGGTACTGTGGTGGCTCAAGTGGTTAAGATGCTGAACTGCAGGCTGTGGAAGGTCAGTAGTTAAGCCGTTCGGGACCCAAGTGTACCGCATGACGGAGTGAGCTCCCGTCTCTAGTTCCAGCTCCTGCCAGCCTAGCAGTTCGAAAGCAAGAAATTGCAAGTAGATAAATAGGTATCACTTCGGTGGGAAGGTAACAGCGTTCACGCACCTTGGTGTTTAGTCACGCCGGCCACATGACCACGGAAATGTCTCGGACAGCACTGGCTCTTCGGCTTTTAAACGGAGATGAGCACCGCAACCCTAGAGTCGGATTCGACTGGCTTTCGAGCAAGGGAACCTTTACCTTTATTTCCCCCATCACTGCTGCTTTATAGTTGGCAAAGCTTCACCTGTTATATTTCTGGCTGTTATAGCCTTTAAGTGGGAAAAAAACAATTTTAGGTAGTGGGAGAAAGGTTTACCAATTTCCAGGTAGGGCTTGGTGTTCTCCAGGAATTGACTGATCTCCTAGTCACAGATATTAGTTTCCCTGGAGGTAATGGGGTGGGGGGTGGCGGCGGCATCACATCCAATGCTCCCTGTAAGCTGTGGGATTGTGTGAGCAAAAATTCTATTTTGTGAGCTACTGGCATTAAAGTTTTGAGCAAGCGATTTAGCTACTGCATAAATTAGTTTGCTCTGGAGCCATTCTTCCTGAGCTGGAGGCTAAAAAACTGAGCTAGCTCACACTCAGCTTAGAGGGAACACTGATCACATCACTCTTCAGGTTCTCTCTCTTCCTTAGGCCACCACTCCCAAATGTCCAGGAATTTACGAGGCTGAAGTTGGGAGCCCAAGTAGAAAGGAATACTGAACTCTGCATGTACCCAAAGATACTCTTAATTCTGACATGTTCGGGTGAGGACCGCGATTATTCTGATGTCTGACACATGAAGCAAAGATTTCCCCCATGAAAATCTGCAGTGATGAGAGCGAGGTTGCACCTGTTGAATTTCTGCCTACCTGACAAGGTTTAAAAGACACTGTGGCCTGGCAGTTCAAAACCAAGTACTGAGAGTCAGCCCTGGATGGGGTTAAACTCTGATTGTCTCGCCTCCTCTTCGCGGACCGGAGAGCCCTGTACACCACCCCCTATATAGGGGGCAGTGGCCCTGTACGCTCAACTAGGGCAAAATAAGGGCGGAAGTGACTTCAGCAACCGTCTTCGAGAGTATTTCGCGCATACTCAGTGCAGACGAAGCTGCATGAGTCTTGGTTGACAGGTAAGGGGTCGGGATGGTGCTTTAGAGCGTGTTGGCAGTTGCACGCCCCCTCTGTGAGTCGGCCACTGTTTTCTTTATTCCTGTTATAAATTATCCACCCACGGCTAAAGACACATCGCCATGCCCGTGGGGGAGGGAGGGGGCTACTAAGATGGCACTGCACGGCAAAGCAAAGCAAATCAACTTTGCGGTACGGGCAAAGTCCCGAACTATCAGTTGAAATGGATTCCGGCCCAGTTTTAGTCCTGTGGAAAAGGTGGAGAGGAATGTCATTCATTTTTTTTTTGTCAGATACTAACATACCCCGTACGAGCTGCGGTGGCTCAAGACGCTGAACTGCAGGCTGTGGAAGGTCAGTAGTTCAGTAGTTCGAGACCCGAGTTGCCGCATGACGGAGTGAGCTCCCGGCTCTAGTTCCAGCTCCTGACAACCTAGCAGTTCGAAAGCAAGACATTGCAAGTAGATAAATAGGTACCACTTCGGTGGGAAGGTAACAGCGCTCCGTGCGCCTTGGTGTTTAGTCATGCCGGCCACATGACCACGGAAACGTCTTCGGACAGCGCTGGCTCTTTGGCTTTGAAACGGAGATGAGCACCGCAACTCTAGAGTCGGATTCGACTGGCTTTCGAGCAAGGGAAACTTTACCTTTATGAATGTTTCTGGGGTTTCTCTATTATTCATGTTTTTCAAGTGGCTTTCTGAGACTTCTACCTAAATATGTGATGGACAAATTGCAGGCTTGCGTGTGGGGGTTTTCTGTACATATTCAGAGGCCATGCTGCAATTAAAACACACAGTAACAAATTGTGGAATGCTGGATTTATTAATTTAGATAATTTTTATGGCACATTTTTGGTCTTTTGATTCTCCAGGCAGCTAACAAAATTATAGAGCAATACAATAATACATATCTAAACCATTTAAAGAAATTATGATGGAAGCAGCAAGGTAAAAAAATAATTAGAAGTTCCCTTTGGTACTGTAAATACATTTTGGAACATTTATTAATTAGATTTTTATCTTGTCATACCTCCAAGAGACTAATGATTCCTGCTCATTTCACCCTCACAACAGCCTTACAATGTAGGTTGCATAAAGAGACCACCCAAGGTCACAGAGTAAGCTTTATAACTCTGTACTGAAACATTCTAGCCCCTGCCCAACATATTACTTAAACAAGAAGGTAATGATGAACTAGATATTTTGCAAGAGGAAGGGAAGCTGCCTTAAACAGAGTCAGTCTATTGGTATATTTAGCTCTGTATTGTTTTCTTGGACTGGCAGCAGCTCTCTGGGGTCTCAGGCTGAGAGAATCGTTTGCCAAGCTGAGATCTTCTAAGTAAAGGTGCTACACTGAGCTTTTGGATCTTTTGAGTTCAAGGGGGTGTTGGGAAGAAGAAGAAGAAAGTGCTGTGGAGTCGCAACCAGTACATGGCAACCCCATCTGCAAGGTGTCCTGGGCCAGAGAGGAGCAGAGGCAGTTTGCCATTGCCTTCCTTTGCATAGCAACCCCAGTCTTCATTGGTGGTCTCCCATCCAAGTACTGACTGTGGCTGACCCTGCTGAGTTCCCAAACTCTGATGAGCCTGGCTAAAATGGTCTATTCAGGGTACTTGGGGGGGGGGGCAAAATTCCAGGCCTCCTGGTCATCATAGGGCCAGTTTGGTGTAGTGGTTAAGTGCGCGGACTCTAATCTGGGAGAGCTGGGTTTGATTCCCCACTCCTCCACTCGCAGCGGCTGGATGACCTTGGGCAAGCCATAGTTCTGTCAGAGGTGTTCTTGAACAGAGCAGTTTCTGTCGGAGGTCTCTCAGCCCCACCTACTTCACAGGGTGTCTGTTGTGGGGAGGGGAGGGGAAGGGAAATGAGTTTGTAAGCCACTCTGAGACTCCGAGTGAAGGGCAGGGTATAAATCCCGTCTCCTCCTCCAGACAAATCTGTTATTTGTTTTCATGAGATTTGGGGGTTGGCTTTCTATCCTGTCTTTTCTATCAGTGGTGGGGTGGTTTGCAAAGCTATAAAATCAGTTTTAAGCAAAATAGTAACACTTCGTTTTAAAAGATAAACAACTCTTTTTTTTCTGGAGACCTGTGGTGGCTGGTGAGAACCAGCATGGTGTAGTGATTAAGAGTGGCGGAGCCTAATCTGGAGAACCAGGTTTGATTCCCCCCTCCTCCACATGAAGCCTGCTGGGTGACCTTGGGCCAGTCACAGTACTCTCAGAACTCTCTTAGCCTCACCTACCTCACAAGGTGACTGTTGGGGGCAGAGGAAGGGAAAGGTGATTGTAAACTGCTTTGAGACTCCTTAAGGTAGAGGAAAGCAAGGATATAAAAACTTACTCTTCTTCTCTTGGTAACAACACATGCTCTACCACTGAGTCACACAGTCTTGCCCAAGAAGGGCAAGTGTGAGATCATGCAGTGAATTGGACTCTCAAAGACAGTTTAATTTCTAAAAAAGAGGTGCTGAGGCTCATAACTGCCTTATGAACTAGACATGGTCTTGGGGTGAGCAGATATGGTATGATACCTGATATGATACCCTTCACCCACTGTGATAAGTAGCACACTCTTCATCCTCACCCCATTCTTAGAGAGGAAGACTGATCGCTGTCAGAGCTTCACCCACCAATTTTGAGGCAAGTGGCAGGTTTGACTGGTTGGTTGTGTGACATCGTCACCATGCTTATGCAGACATTCCGGTTTAGCCCTGCCCTTTTTTCACCTTTCTGCCCAACTGGTTTGTCTGCCCTTTCCTGCTGGGCAATACAGGTTGAAATGGGCATGCTGCAACACCCTGACCAGGTAAAGATGGAGGGGGAAATCTCTCTTACCAAGAATCAGGAGTTTTAAGGACTTCACTGTTTTAAGAATTTTTAGAAACCGTGAAGTTGCCAAACTTGCACTGGACTGATCATAGAGGTTTATAAAATTATAGATGGCGCAGATAAAGTAGATGAAAATCATTTCTCTTTTGCATTACAAAGGGGCACTCAGTTAAGATGAGAGAGACAGATTCAGGAAGGCAAAAAGAATTGCTTATTTGCATAATGCAGAGTTAACGTGGAACTCACTGCCACAAGATGGAGGTGTGTGCATTAGAAGGCTTCAAAAGGGGACTAGATATCTTGGGGTTCTTAGCAATTTTTGTTTATTGTAGCCCATGGGCTGAGAATTAATTAACCTATATTTTGTGGGGGTGGAATCCAAAAATCAAATATTATGTAAAATTGAGTATTAAAATAAAATGTAATTGATGTATATATTCTAAACAAATCTGAGTTCCCAAGCAAATCTTAGAATTGTCTTGAGTTTCCCCCCTCTCAATTCCCATCAATTTCACCTCTACTAAAGACCCTACTTGTGATCTACTGCTTCCTCTATGCCTACAGGGAAGGTTATCCATTGTCTCTCTGCATGAGTCATTGGTTTGAGTCACATAGAGCTGTTTAAGAAGGAAGCTGCCTTCATCGTCTGGCTAGTCACTACAGCCCTCTTTCCTGGGCACAACCTCTGCACTGTGCTCCGTCACTTTCAGATCGCCCGTAGTGAATTATTAAACAGCTATTCATTCTGCTTTACTAAACTGCTGTCAGTTTAGTAAATCATTATACTTTTAATTTGCATTTTGCTATTTTGGAACATTCTGTATTGGCAGAGAATGAAGGGTGTTTTTCTAGCCTGGTGTCTGTGCAGGAGCCAAGGTTAACTTCCCCAAGAGCAAAAATTCTTCCCCATCCCACCCACCCCGTCTGTGAGCAAAGCAGGTCCATTTCCCCGTTCTCAAAACTTGGAGAGGAGCACTGCACAAGATATCACAGATACTGAGGTTCTCTTAAAGGGAACAGTGCTGCTACATGGCAGACACGTCTGCTAGAAATGAACTGACAGTCATCTCAAGCCCTTGTGTTAGGGTGGGCTATAAATCACAGCAACAGGAAGGTGTGACAGGATTTCTGCTGTTACTTCTCCTGTCTGTCGTTCCAGGCCATTTGAGTGGTTCGCCACAATGTTAAAGCTACGACTTTTGACATGGGATGTGAAAGATACTCTGCTTCGACTCCGGATTCCTGTGGGCGAGAGTTACGCTGCTGAGGCCCGGGCCCGTGGCCTCCAGGTGGAAGCTGAAGCACTCAACAGAGCCTTCCGCCAGGCCTATAAGGCTCAGGGCCAGCGCTTTCCCAACTATGGCCTAGACAGAGGCCTTAGCTCAAAACAGTGGTGGTTGGAAGTAGTCATGGAGACCTTCCGGCTCTCAGGAGTCCATGAGGACAAGGTGCTCCTGTCCATTGCAGAGAAACTCTACTGTGATTACTGTAGCAAGCGCAACTGGGAGCTGCTACCAGGTGCCAGTGAGACCCTCCAGCAGTGCCGGCAGTTGGGCATCCGCATGGCTGTCATCTCCAACTTTGACCGGAGGTTGTCAGAGATTCTAGCTCAGTGTGACCTCCAGCAGCACTTTGAATTTGTCTTGAGCTCTGAGAACTTGGGCTTTGCTAAGCCAGACAAGAGGATATTTCTGGAAGCCCTGCGGATCTCTAGGGTACCCCCTCCCTTGGCTGCCCATGTTGGGGACAACTACATGAACGATTACAGGGCACCAAGAGAGGTGGGAATGCATAGTTTCCTGATTAAGACACTCGGGAAACCTGCCAGCTGGGAGACAGAAGTGCCTCAGGAGCACATCTTGCCCTCACTTACATACCTGCCCTCTCTTATACAGAAAGGCTAAGCGAGGGACTTCAGTATTTTGCAGAATTACTGTTGAAGGACTTCTTGGATTGGACCACTGCCATTGCCATCCTAAGCAGAATTGCACCCATTGAAGTCAAAGGGCTTAGAAAGGTCTTTATGCTTAGGATATTACTGTTAGAATAGCATGGAGTTGCTTTTTTCGCTTCAAAAATGTAGACAGCTAGCACATCAGACAGAGGTTGTTACCACCATGACATCATTCCTTCCCACACACAGTGGCTTTTTAAATGGGCAATCTTTAAAAAATGCCCTGTCCCACCCTGACATGGATAGCCCAGGCAAGCCCGATATGGTCAGATCTTGGAAGCTAAGCGGGGTTGACTCTGGCAAACACTTGTATGGGAGACCTCCTTGGACTACCAGCAGTTGGGAGGGTGGGGGCAGGCTTTATTCAGCCACCTCTCTGAATATTTTCCAGGCCCCCAGTGGGCGTCAGTCACCAGAGATCGCCATGACTTCCAGGTGTACACACACTCATGCACATATGAAAAATACAAAAAAAAAAAGACAAACCAAAAATGTCCTATCCCACTTACAAATCAGAAGTGGCACTGTGCAGGAAGAATTCTGCCACAAGATTTTACTGATTGTTTAAATCCACCATGCTCTTCTTGCTAAGGAGAGTAGGAAGGAAGGAAAGGGTGCCTCATGTCTAATAGCCTGGTGAAAAATCATTTGGGTAAACTAACTCATGGAAGTATGGCCTCCTTTGAATATTTTATATTTCTAGTTCCAATAAAAGTAGCAGTGTTTCTGAGGCTGACCTTCCTTCCCGATACTTAAAAAAAAATTTTTTTGTTTCATTCACAATATGTTGTTGAAGGCTTTCACGGCCGGAGTTCATTAGTTGTTGTAGATATTCTAGGCTGTATGGCCATGTTCTTGGCATTGTAAGACATGACATATCGCCAGCAGCTGTGGGAAAACTTATGAAAAAACACAACCTACAAACAGTATTCAGACCCACCAGAAAAATACAACAGATGCTACGATCAACAAAAGACAGAAGAGCCCGCCTCACTTCTGCAGGAGTATACCGCATACCATGCAGTTGTGGACAGGTTTACATCGGGACCACACAGTGTAGCATTCAGACAAGAATAAAAGAACATGAAAGACACTGCAGACTAGGCCAACCTGAAAAATCATTAGTGGCTGAACATAGCCTAACTCACAGGACACAGTATCCTATTCCAAGACACTGAAAGGCTGGGCAACACATCCAATTACCATGTCAGATTACAAAGGGAAGCCATTGAGATTCATAAACATAAACACAATTTCAACAGGAAAGAATAGAGTTTAAAAATAAATAGGGTATGGTTTCCAGTCCTGAAAAACACAAAATGCTCTACATCTTACAATAGCATTACAGATAAGATTAGAATTTCAACAGCCAATCGATATGCAAAAGAAGCTCCTCCATTAGCATGTCACAGCCTGGGGAACTCCTACAAGACAATGACTCAGCCCTACCCCACCTTCCTGAGTAGATATAAATTACCTGCCTTTTGTCTCACCTTGACACAGAGAGTACTCCATCTTTCTGTGTTATAACTCTGAGGATGCCAGTCACAGCTGCTGGCAAAACATCAGGTCCTACAATGCCAAGACCACGGCCATACAGCTTGGAAAATCTACAACAACTAGTGCACAATAAAGTTCAGTCCTGACTGGGATCAGTCTCTCCCAAGCCTTGCAATGAGCCTGTTCAGTAGATGGAACGGTATGGACTGGAGGCGGCATCTTAGAGAAACAGCAGCCTGCTCAGGGCTGTACAAGTCAACGAAACGTGGGAGGACTTGAATCAGGAAGACCTGAGTTCAAGTCCAGTTTTGTAGGATACACTGGGCAAGCATCTTGAGGCTGGAGGAAACAACTGATAATCTAGGACATGAGTGGGGCAGTGATGTGTCCAGGGCCAAAGACTACAAGAACATACACATTGTATACTGGAAAACACAGTGTAACACAAACTAGAAATGTCTCTTATGGAAAAACCTAACCCATTCTGTCCTCAAATTGTACATACACACACAGCACAAAGAGCTTGGCGTGTTCCAGGTTGCAAAGGCAAGTCTTTATTGATTGCAGCAGTGGCGGGAGGCTGTGTTTCCAGCCGTGTTCCAGATGGATGTTCTCTCAAAACAAATCCAGTTTAAACTCAGCTGTTCTGACCATTCATATATAACACCTCTTATGTGAGGTACTCCATCTTCCCACAGCATTTGTTCCCAGGAAAATGAGACAAGTTCCCACAAGGCCACTACTGAGGTTTTGATTGCTTTATGAAATGTGGCTGCATCAGTTTCACAGCAACCTACTGGCCAGTATCTACAGCGACCAAAGAAACACGTGCCATACACACAATGCCTGCACTGTTTCCTGGGTGAGTTGCAGTCCTGTTGCCCCAGGCTCTGTGTGTGTGTGGCGCAATTCTATAGGAGCACAGAATATAATGATGCAGAATTTCACTTCCTCAGAATTTCAGCTTTCATTTAAAAACCAACAGCTGGTAAGTGTCTAGCCCTTATATTTGTGAAAAACATTTAAAAGTGTGTGGGCACTGCTTGCGACCAGAATGGAAGCAGAAGAAGATTTCCAGTGGTGGGGCTCCTTGCCCTCGTTGAGAGCTTGCAAAACCATAATAAATTATGCATAATAGTAAAAAAAAAATGCAGATTTGGCTATGAGAAAACAAGAACAATTATATGTGCTGAATGAGTATAATTTATGCGGGTCAAAAAAGTTCAGTTTCACTTTACACAGAAATTGGAGTGTACAGGGAAGAATTTTTATTACTGGTTAAACATGGGTGACTAAACAGTCCCTAGTTATTCCCCCTTTTTTGGGTCATAATAGGGAAGAGTTGTGGCTAAAGCAAACCACTTGTTTTGTATGCAGAAAGTCTCAGGTTCAATCCCTGGCATTGCCAGTCAAAGGGGTTGCAGGTAGAGGGTCTTGGGAGTGTCATTACCAGTCAAATGAGACAACACAGAACTAGAAGGACCAATGGTCTGATTCAGTAAAAGGCAGCTTTGTATAAGAGAAGGAGAAGAGAAGAGATTGGATTTATCCCCCCCGCCCTTCACTACCCAAAGGTGTCTCAGAGCGGCTTACAAACTCCTTTCCCTTCCCCTCCCCACAACAGACACCCTGTGAGGTTGGGGGGGAACAGAGAGCTCTTGACAGAAACTGCTCTTTTTCAAGAACAGCTCATATCAGAGCTACGGCTTGCCCAAGGCCATCCAGCCAGGTGCAAGTGGAGGAGTGGGGAATCAAACCCGGTTCTCCCAGATTAGAGTCTGTGCACTTAACCACTACAACAAATATATAAACAAATATAACATAATTCTTTTTCAAGACTTCATGGAATGACCCTCCACACACAGTCATCAGTACTGTCTGGCACACAGTTTGCAGATAAGTACTTCCACAGTATCTCTCTTTCACATACAGACGGCCAAACCACAAGCCAATGTAGATCCATTGTATCATTCCACCCAGTAGCATGGAGGATGTTCCCACGCATTGGGGTCCAGACAGATTGGTAAAATGGTTCACTTCAGGTGCACCACTGATTAAAAATTTAACTTCTCAGATTCCTAGGGTTTCAGGATCCTTTCAGCTTCCTCCATTCCAGCCAATGAAGCAGCAGAAGTCATTGCGCTTGGCATTTAAGTTGACCTTTGGATGTGTTTAGCCATCTGCGCAGGCTTGTAAAATATTGAGGAACCCTAATGCCACAAGTTGTAAGGAGCCATAAATGTAGCATGATCTATACAGTTTTAGGAAATAGTCTCAGTGTTCATCAAAGATAAGTATGGCCTCTTGGGCTGCCCCTCAGCAGAGCCTCACTCTCACTGCATCAGGTAGATACTTTGATCAGCTACAGCCAAGGATGGGTAAATGGGAGCGGTGAAGTTTTCACGATGTGCATGGAGAACAACGCAAGATTCTGGGTCGTAAAACAGCAGTTCCCCCACATCCAAGTCCACCAGGACCCCAATTTCCATTGGGCATTTGAGGAGGTCCACTGTTTGGTGGCAATTGTCATGTGAAAACCGAAACTCCTTGTCATAGCGGGAGAAGACCCAGGAGAATGGGTTGTAACCCAGGCGGGCTTCAGGACCTGTGCCCTTACGCTGCAGTGATTTATATGAGATGCCCAGCTTGTATGCACCGCTATTTGCCACACTGACTCTCCATGCGTGAATCCCTTTGTGGAATGATTCTTCAGCCAAGGCATTGGGCCAGTGGTCAAACCGTTCTGGGCCATCAGGGTCACTCTTTACTTTCTTAGGGCTAAAGGTCAGCATTTTCTTGTCTTCCGAGAGTGTCAAGAGTGGGCTGACTGTTTTCTCATCAATGTGGATTTCATCTGTGCTGAGAGGAGAAAGAAACTGGTTAGTGCATGTTTGGCAGACAGCTTGCGTTACAGATCTGTGCCATGGCTAGTTCTTTTGTACATCAAAAAACTGAATTTGACTTGTGTGGTCTTTAATATTGGCCTTCAAAGTGCATTAGCAGGCCTTTTGTAAAATTTAAGCATCCTTTGGAACCCAAACATTTAAAAACAGAATGTGTAATTTCAAACTTGAGTTTCCAGATTGTATTACTCCTTTGTACATTTTTTTGGTTTTTGTCTTTCCAAAACAGGCATTTTGAGAATTTAAATATCCTGCTGTTTTGTCATACAAATGCCACACAAGGAAGATCATAACATAAAATTAAAACATAAAATAGATGTAAAACAGCAGCCAAATAAAAGCAATCATAACAAGCAACGCATATTAGATAAATTTAAAAAATGGTTTGGTCATAAAATTAACAATAGGTCATAACAAGCTACAGAATAAAACAGTTTCAGGGCATAAATGACAAATGTACTCTGGAATAAAACAGTTCATACAACTTTCTGGATGGTCAAAAGGGAGGAGTCTGACAGATCTTTTGGGGTAGGGAGTGCCACGCCCTGGGGACCACAGATTCAAAAGCCCAGTCTCCCTGGTAGTCAATCCTCACAGACAGATGGGTCATACAGGTGATCATAGAGGCAAATTGTACAGAGCTTCCTTAGAGGGGAAGGACTGAGGCTCAGTGTTAGAGAATCTGCTGGGCATGTAGAAAGTTCCAGGCTCATTTCCCAGCATCCAGTCTGAACAGACAATACTGACCTTGGTCTGAATCAGTATAAGCCATTTTAATAGCATCAACTTCACCTGTGTTAAGGTTGCCAGGTCTGGGTTGGGAAATACCTGGAGGTTTTGGAGGTGGAGCCTCAGGAGGGCAGAGTATGGGGCATAATGCCATAGAGTCCGGCTTCCAAAGCACCCATTTTTCTACAGGGGAAGTGATCTCTGTCGTCGAGATTAGTTGTAATAGCGGGAGATCTCCAGCCACCACCTGGAGGGTTGGCAACCCTAAGCTGTGTGCATACATGTCACTGGACAGTTACCCAGAACTGAATTATGTGGAACTAAAGACAGCTTTTAAGACTGAGCCTCAATTTGAATTAAGGTCTGGTTCCAAGGCATACACACACAGAGAAAGCTGCTCAATGCAATAATATACACCTGCAGTGGTATTTAGAAGGGGCAATATGGGCAAAACCAGCCTCCATTCTCTGGGAGGATGAGACACTGACCTGAGTTCCAGCACAGAATGGCAGCAGTCCACAACCGGCTCATTAATGGACTCTGGATGCACTGCGGGTTAAAGTTTAACTTCTCAGATTCCTGAGGTTTCAGGATCCCCTCCGCTTCCTCCATTCTAGCCAATGAAACAGCAGAAGTCATTGTACTTGGCATTCCAGTTATGCTTTTGGAGTGTAACCCATACGACAGTCAGGGGAGGTTAGGACAGATTTGCTCTTCCTTATGAGCTATACCTACATTTCTGACAGCAATACTACTTGTAAGGTAGGCCACGAGTATTAGAGCAGTCTGCCCACGTCTCTCGTTAATAGGGTTGCCAGGTCTGGGTTGGAAAATACCTGGAGATTTTGGAGGTGGAGCCAGGAGAGGGCGGGGTTTGGGGAGGGAAGGGGCCTCAGCATAGTACAGGGGCGGCCAAACTTGCTTAACGTAAGAGCCACATGGAATAAACATCAGATGTTTGAGAGCTGCAAGACATGAACAGATATTACACGTTTATCCTGGGAAATATGCAAATTTGCTTTTTATTAACATTAAATGAAACCGCCAAAAATAATAACAAAAGCGGTAAAAGCAGATATTTATAATGATATTTATTTGTCCAATTATATTTGTTTGCTAATGATATTCCCCAGCGATCCTGCCGGGAGCCGCACAATGTGTGTGAAAGAGCCGCATGCGGCTCCCAAGCCACAGTTTGGCCACCCCTGGCATAGTACAATGCCATAGAGTCCACCCTTCAAAACAGCCATTTTCTCCAGGGAAGCTGATCTCTCTCAGCTGGAGATCAGTTGTAAAAGTGGGAGATCCCCAGACCCCACCTGGAGGCTGGCAACCCTACTCGTTAACTGTGTGGATTTCTTTGTCCTCGCTTTTGCCCTCAGTGGCCCTTACACTTTTTATCTACTGTTTTTATTGCTTAAGCTGTGCTTTTACCCCTCCTCTTAATGTCTGCTGGTTTTATTGACATCATTCTGTTTTTAGTTGTTGAATAGCTTATCGATAATTCAAGCTACCTAAAGGTTTTTTTTTAATGGAGTGGTGGCTAATAAATGTTTTTCATTAACGAATTACTGTTTCCCAATGGGACGTTGTCCGAAGCTGAGAAAAAGCAGCTTGCCCAAGGCCAGTTCATGAGTTCATACCTTCTCAGGCTTTCAGCCACCACGCTACACTTATTTCTGAATGGGGCCCAGGAGGAGATTTTTCTCTTAATGGGATCAAAGCTATGCAGCAGAACTGTGACTGTTTAGAAGGATGTTCAATGGCAGGTAAGAATCAGTAAAAAAAGGTAAAGGTTCCCTTGCTTGAAAGCCAGTCAAATTCAACTCTAGGGTTGCGGTGCTCATCTCTGTTTCAAAGCCGAAGAGCCAGCGCTGTCCGAAGACGTTTCCGTGGTCATGAGGCCGGCATGACTAAACACCAAGGTGCACGGAACGCTGTTACCTTCCCACTGTAGTGGTACCTATCTACTTGCAATTTCTTTCTTTCGAACTGCTAGGTTGGCAGGAGCTGGAACTAGAGACGGGAGCTCACTCCGTCATGCGGCACACTCGGGTCTCGAACTGCTGAACTACCGACCTTCCACAGCCTGCAGTTCAGCGTCTTAACCACTTGAGCCCTAATCCTGGGACATTTATGCAGCTGCAGGAAACAGGAGGCATACAAAGGATTGCCAGGTTTGTGTTGGGAAATAACTGGAGATTGTGGGGGGGGGGGGGGGGGGCCTGGGGGGGGGCCTCAACTGGGTACAATGCCATAAAGTCCACCATCCAAAACAGCCATTTTCTCCAGGGAAACTGATCTCTGTAGTCTAGAGATCAATTGTAATACCAGGAGATCTTCAGCCCCCACCTGGAGGTTAGCAACCCCAGGCACACAACAGCTACAGACAGGTTTGTATCCCAGCATCCATAATCCTGCAGACTCCACTTGGCACCCAAATATTGCAGCTCTGTGGGAATGGCTATGTGCCGCCTGTGCATCTGTTGCTGCAGAACACTGCAGCCCGGGAATTTCAGGTGTATTTAATAATGACAAGGTTCTAGCCCTTAAGGCTAGTTTTGCTCAAAGGGATGTCAACGATGCCTGGTAAAGTCTCAGACACTTGAAACGATGAGGGGACGATGCCTGGTGAAGTATGAGAAAGCATTTCAGAACTCCACATTCCTTTTGATGGGCCAAACCAGAATAAATGGGGGAAGCGGAATCCTACATACTTTCTCTGCAATACAGATACATAAAAATAAACACATACACAACTTTCATGTATATGTGATACCTATGCCTGTTTCACCTATCTACGCAAATCTGTTTAATTTAAATCATTTATGTATGTCACAAATTCCTGCAAGATTTGGATTGCATTGATACATTTAAGTTTGCATGCATAGTTCTGTGCAGGTGACTAGAACCAGGGCAAAGGTACAGAAATGAGGGTGACATGGATGGTGTGCTAATCCCTTGCAAGAGATGGGGGGCACACGAGCTGGTTGTCAGAACAAAAGAAACCGGCACCCTGATACCCACCTTTCATAGATTTCCTCTTCTGCCTGCTGGAGTAAAGGAGAGAAAGATGAAAAGATGAAAACTTCATCCCATGAATCTTCTTGGATATGCCCCAACATTATAGGAGCTGAGTGGGTATATCAGCCCCTTGGATTGGAACTCTAAATAAAGGTGCAATAATACCCTCTCAAAGAGAGTGACTACAGCTGTTTTTAGCTCTGAGGCAATCTCAAGATTGACACCTTTTGCTGCCAGCAGCTGGAAAATAATCCAAGGCATGTCGTCCCCCCCCCCCCCCCCCCGGCTTAGTTCATACCCGCACACAGGAGAATATGATGCCAGAGCACAGAGGTGGTCAAATGATCATGATAGGTCTGATGAAGGGAGCTTCATCGTTCATAGCAAGCTTAAAGTTCATAGTAAAGGTTTTCCTTGCTCGAAAGCCAGTCGAATCCAACTCTAGGGATTCGGTGCTCATTTCTGTTTCCAAGCCGAAGAGCCAGCGCTATCCAAGGACATTTCCATGGTCATGTGGCCGGCATGACTAGACGCCAAGACGCATGGAACATTGTTACCTTCCCACCAAAGTGGTACCTAGTTATCTACTTGCAATTTCTTGCTTTTGAACTGCTAGGCTGGCAGGAGCTGGGACCAGAGATGGGAGCTCACTCTGTCATGTGGCACTTGGGTCTCGAACTAATGAACTATCGACCTTCCGGTTTGCAGTTCAGCGTCTTAACCACTTGAGCCCAACAAATCTTGTTGGTCGCTAAGGTGCTAGTGAACTGGAATCTACCTGTTCAGCTCTCAAGTGGGAGAATACAGCTTTAAATGTTCCTTGTATAAAATCTCCCTGCAAACAGAAAGCTAGTTCATCAGGGACCAAGAAGTTTACTTCCTCATTGCTTGCTGAGCCGGTCTTCTGTTTGATGAAGGCTTTAAAAAACAACAACATAGTGGTGCATTCCAAAATGTGATCATCCATAACCTCTTCCTCCTAGGAAGTGAAGCAATCCTGGACTCAGGGCTCTGTCACATCATTCATCTGCATGTGTGAACCAGGCTATATTCATCACATCTCCAGTGGTGTTAACCAGGATCATAAACCAGGTTCTGAAGACAGAGAAGATCTAACTCTAGTGTGCGAGGATACAGCCATACTGACTAATTGTGGTTAAGGTCAGCAAGGGAGAAACTGCACAAGAGAGGGAGAGTGTGTGCGATACTACAATTGTTCCCTTAACGTGTAAAAACACACACAAAGATGGGAACAAGCCGCAGCTGCCCTACTGCCAAAGTGCGACCCCATCTAACCTTACACACAAGCCTCTGTCAATCACATGCTTCATACTAGGTTGCCAGCCTCCAGGTGGGGCCTGGAGATCTCCTGGAATTAAAAAGGATCTCCAGTCTGGAGAAATGAGGTCCCTCCCCTCCCCAGCCTGCACCCCCAAAATCTCCCAATCTAGAGCTGGCAACCCCAAGTCCCACCACAAAGAGAGAGCAATAAACTTGCAATGTAAGGAAACTGCCTGGCAAAACAAGGGCCACTCATGATAAAGCAAGGATGGTTACCACAAGGCTGTGGTCATCTGTAGCAGTGATCATGGCCACCAGATAGGACCGGAGAGCATCCAGCTTCCGCAGTGACTCGGTCCAGTGGACCTGCTGGGTAAGGATGTTCTGGTGGGCCCGCTCCTCCTCTGTATGCACCATCTCCAGCAGCCGCTGCTCCTCGCTCTCACAGACATTCCTCACAAGGTTCAAGCGCCGGATCAGGACCTCTCGTGCACTGCTGGCCGCACTCTGCAAAAACACAAAATGGATTGAACCACTCAGGGTTACAGTTCCTCATGACTAGCTGGTCAAGGGAATTCAGAGATTGCAACAGCTGTGGTCACGGGGAGGATATCTCCACAAGGCCATTTAAGGAAGGGGAAGGCTAACTTCTGTCTAGCATCACCTACTTCTTTTTAAATAGATTTCCCGTGGTACACCAATATCACTTAAGAGATCTGGACAATACACTCTTGTTTACAGACACAGAAAGTCCATTTAGGCCAGCTTTCTTGGGAAGAACTGCAGTAGCTGGCAGTTGTTGGATCATTCAACCCCCTACTCCCACCAAAAAAACGGACAAGGACCTACCTATCTAGGCTGCTACAGCGCAGTGGTGAAAAGAATGAGCTGTGATCCCAGAAGTCACCTCAGACACAAACTCAACCCAGTCACTCAGTTCCCTCATCTGCACTAATACTGGCTTACAAGGTTGTCAGGCCTCACAGCCAAAGAATACACACATAATCAGGGATGTCCAACTGGCTGCAGTCTGTGAGTTACTGGTAGTTCATCAGCTGCTGCAGAGTAGCTTGTTCAACCGTGAAGATGCAGAAAAAGATCTCAAAAAAGATCTTTGTTTTTGTTTCTAAAGCCTTTTATTTCATAGGGTTTTCCTGCATGCTGCTTAGCTGATAGCTTTATTTCTGGAGCTCTTCCTAAGCCATGCCCTGTTTCTAGGACAAAATAAACCTTGGTAACATGTTGGGAGGGAGCACAGAGCATAGCGCATGTTGGGGAAACACAGAGCAGCTTGGGATTTTTTTGCATTACTCAGAAATAACCCCTCGTTAAAGAAAAGGTTGGTGACCCCTAGTATATATGAAGGCAGGGGTCATTTCGTAGAAAAAGAGGTGCAGGAGCTCATTAGCATGACTTATTTGTATATGCCACACCCCCTGACATCACCGGAAGTGTGTCAGAAGGCAACACCCACTGTTTTGGATTGCTATTGGGAGGGGGAGAACATGCAGATCTGTCCTCACAGAGGAGGGAGAGCTTGTACCTGAATAAAACTTGGTCTTAAAGGTGCCACTGGACTGTTTTGGACTAGGGGGCCAGGGGGGCTATGCAACTTACCTGGCTGCTTCTTGCTCTGACTGAGGACTGCTGGGAGCAGGGGGTGGGGCTTGTTGCATGTGCCCACCCCCTGGGCTCTTTACTGCCGGAGCTCTGCTCCTGTGTGCTCCTGCAGGAAATGACCCCTGTATGAAGGGCTCTTAAACATGTCTACAAGCACGGCTGTCTCAGGACTAGGACTGTCAACTTTTCCCATCCCTGTTTATATCAGGAGGTCAAAGTGCAGTAACTGAACAGGGGGTGAAACTCTCCCTCATTGCTCTTCCCTCCCTCTCCACCTGCTAAAGGGCTACTCTTAAAAACCACAGAGCAGGGCCAGAAAATAATTATCATAATCTAAAAACATGAAAACCCAGGAACTAGCTGGGTTATTTATGTAATTATTTAAAGGAACTTCCGTGCTGCATCCCACAGTAGATGGCTCCCAAAACACAATACAGAACAACAATAAAAGCAATTTAACAATAAAGTAGATCCAGCACTTATTAAAAAATACAACAATCTGAATGTTTAAAACCCCTAAAAAGGCCACTATAAAATTAGGAGATTAGCCAGTTCAAGGCATCACATTCCCCTCCCCACCTCAGCTGAAACATCTCATGACCAGGCAGAAAAATGTGTGAGGGGGATTTATGGAATCGCAGGAAGGGGGAGTGACAAGTAGGAATTTAAACGGTTTCCTCCTTGCCAAATTTCTGGCAAATTCTACCCTAAAAACTCTTGGGAAGCATTTTGTCCCATATTAAACCCACTCCCCAGCTCGTATTGTTTTAAGATTGGCTTGTGAGGCCCTGCTTAGGATACCATCCTTCATGAGCGCCTTTATGAACAACACCAGGAGCAGCCCTGATATCATAAACACGGGGCTGGTCTTTTGAATCCTTTGGGAAGCAAACAAAGGCATTTTTGTTCCGCCAGGCTTTTGAAAACTGAGTCCTCCGGTTCCTGGAATTACTATGTTTTGGAGGACAACTGAACCTTGTCTGTTCTGTTCTTCTTTACTAAAATTATATTCTGTCCTGTTTTTACACCGTAAACTGTTTTGTAAACCAAGCACTGAATAGAGGCATATTAATGGTTCTAATAAAAATCAGTAAATGGTCAGATAAGACCCGCAAAGCAAGACAACTGGGTCTTTTTTCTTTCTCCTCCCTGAGCAGGTTTTTGTGCTTTTTACAACTTCATCATATGCCCCTGGAATTCAACCAGTGCAGTTTTTCCTCTCCCTATTACTGAATAGCCTGGTCAAAAAAGCTCTACCCATTCCATGTCTGTCTGCAGTGCAGTGGCTCAATGAAGCGACAGCTACAGAGGTGTGATGGGTGAAGCACTCCATATGATTTGGCCCCAGCAGCAGATGCACAGAGATGTGTTAGTGGTGGAAAGTGCCATCAAGTCATAGCTGACTTATGGCAACCCAACCCTGTAGGGTTTTGAAAGCAAGAGCCGTTCAGAGGTGGTTTGCCACTGCTTGCCTCTGTGTCACAACCGGGGAATTCCTTGGTGATCTCCCATCCAAATACTAGCCAGGGCCATCCCTGCTTAGCTTCCTAAGTCTGATGAGATCAGGCTATCCTGGGCTATCCAGATAAGGGTTGTAGACCTCATCAAATTATTGTTCCCTCTACTTTGGCTGGAAGAATGGTCTAATTCAGTATAAACCAGATTCAGGTATTTATACACTAGGCTCTGCAGGACCCCAAGCAGAGAAAGGCCTTCTTACCTACTTTAACAGGCTACGAACCTGAGGTTTTGCTCCTTCCCTTCCCTTGAATAAACAAGTTCAACACCCATCAGCATCATACAGGGGAGCGTCTTCTACCTTGGCAGTGGCTGCTCTGCAGGGTGCCAAGCAGAGAACTCCTGCCAAGATGCTCAGCTGCTGAAGATGAGGGGAATTGACTCATGGACCTTCTAGAAACAAAACAGGCTCTAGGGACCAAGTCACAGTCCCCAGTGCAATGGGAACACCTCAAGCTGACCCCACCCCTTCTTCCCAGTACCTCCTGAGAATTCGTACCACAACATGCTGTTTCTTCTCCGGCAGCACCTCTGCCACATATTTAGCAGTCACGGCACTCTGCAGCTGAAGTGTCTCACATTGATCTACAATTTTGTTCTGAAACAGAAGAAGCAGGAAGCTATAATTACTACCTTATAATTTCTGCAACACACACAAATTAGTCACTGTCTGAACAGAAGACAAGAAGAGCCACACTGGATCAGACTTTTTAGCCCAGCATCTTGTTTCTGACCAGTATCTGGCCAACCAGATACCCATCAGAAGGTCTACAAGCAACACCCAGAGGCCAAGGCCTCCACCTGCTGTTGACCCACCAGTAATGGATGTTCAGCAGTAAAATGCCTCTGAACATGAATGTTCAATTTGGCCTTCATGGTTAATAGCCGCAGGCGGGCTTCCTCCGTGAATCTGTCAATCTGTGCTTGTCCTTTAGGGCTAGCAGCCAGCTGTTCAGTGTTCCCTCTAAGCTGAGCTAGTGTGAGCTAGCTCACAGTTTTTTAGCCTCTGGCTCACACCTTTTTGTCTTAGCTCAGGAAGGATGGCTCCAGAGCAAACTACTTTATGCAGTGGCCAAATCGCTCACTCACAACTTTAATGCCAGTAGCTCACAAAGTAGAATTGTTGCTCACAAGACTCCACAGCTTAGAGGGAGCATAGCAGCTGTCATTCTAAGATGGGAGTGGTACTCAGCACTAAAAGTTCTGAAGTCCAGACCACCACCTTCACCACCTATCTCCAGATATTGGGGGGGGGAGGCCTCAGTTATGCAGTAGGAGGCCCTTTGTGAAAGCTCAGAGGGAGCCAGCATGGTGCAGCAGTTACTGACAGACCAAGATCAGGGAGACCCAGGTTCGAATCCCCACTCTGCCATGGAAGCTTACTGGTTGACCCTGGGACAATCACACACTCTCAGCCTAACCTTCCTCATCTTTGAGGGTGAAACGGAGGAGAGGAGAACAATGTAAGCTGCTTTGTCATCACTGGAGAGAAAGGCAGGAGTATAAAGTAAGCAAAAAAATAAATCACCACACATTCCAGAAATTGCAGTCACTTCAAAGAAAAAAGTTCCTGGTGGGTGGTTCTGTATCTTTAATAGCTGCTGGATTTCTGTGCCAGAAGTGCCTTTCCAGTTTATTATTTATTTATTTATTTTATTTCTTTGATTTATCTCCCCCACCCTCCCCACAAGCAGGCTAAGGGCGGCTTACAAGGTCACACAGAATACTGTGACAGTGAGACAGTACATAATATTCAACAATTACATTTTTTAAAATTGAGATTTAAGATTTAAAGAGTTCAAAGTTTCATATATATATATATAAAAAACCAGAGTAAAAGTTGCCTCGGTAGCAACGCTCGGATAGAAACCTTCTGAGCGGTGTTGTGAGGTATCAAGCCACCACCCACTAGGCTAGGACTGTCAGCAGGGGAGGCCCAAGAATGGGAATCTGGACGCCCGCGGCGCTGCCTCCCCCGGGGGAACAGCTCCGTTTGAACGGCTGCCTGACACACAGCTGATACAGAAAAAGACTGCCAGATTTGTGAAACAAATTG